GTTGCTAAGGTTGAGAAACACTGCAGTAGATGTTCTCAAAATTTCAAAGGTGGCCTTCTTTGCAGCCAGCCTTGTTCGTTTTAGCACAGCCAAGAGGTCCTTTTACGATTCAGAGGCAATAACCTCACCAGGGAGTGCAGGCAATGCAATAGCAGTTTATGTGATCGAAGATTGAAAATGCAGAGAGCAGCATATGGGAAATATTACCCAAATAGATGCTCATTCTGCTGCCAGAGGCTCCTTCAAGGCAGTACCCCCAGCAATACCCCCAGCTGATCCAACAGAGCCCCTTCTCAGCTTCTTGATGGTCTATGCTGAAACCCTCCTCCCACCCCTTGTGCCTGTCCTCAACAGCCTTTTATAATTTAAATCTTGTTTTCATCTCACCTTGGCCCAAGTGCCACACACATCCTTATCTGTGTACAAGGGGGTCTTTGCAGGGTGTGCTATTTGTGAGCATCCTGATGCTAGGCAGTAGATTCATCTACGTAGCTTTGTGCCAATTTTCTACATTGGAAGAAGTCCAAGTACAGACAAACAGGAAAAGAAGGGAGTTACCTTCAACCTGTTCATGTGAGGTGAACACTGATCATAGAGCTCTATGCATTTGCCAAATTAAACAGGTGTTTCTGCACACGTTTAACCTGAAGACTGAACTTAACCCAGCTTTGGGATTTATGCAGTCTACTGAATCCGTAACTAAACCAACAGGTTGGGTTTGCAAGACATGGGAAGTCACCAAAAACGAAACAAAACAAACAAAAATTGAGTTTAGGATTTATTTATTTATTTATTAAATTGATATAGCCGTCCATCCCACGCTGCTGACTCTGGGCGACCCATGTGATGAAAGACACAAAGCCCCCAAATCAACATAATTAGAACAAAACCATCAACATACAGTGAAAACAGTGAAATCCCATCAGAACGAAAAGATGGAATGGGTAGATGTAACCGGGGAGAGGTGGTCCCTCAAATAACCTGGCCTCATGTCATGTAGGACTTGAGGCATAACCAACACCTTGAATGTTACATACCCACCACTGCTAGCCTTTTTAACTAGCTTGGGCCGAGCATGCTGAAGAAATTCACCCACTGTATGGTGAGTCAGACCTATATGTCTTACCAGAACCTGCTTGTCCAATGTGACCTTTTTCTCTCCACCCTAACTTCCATTGTCCGTGCTCCCTCTCATCTTCCAGTTCTCCTTTTCAGAGATCTCACCTGATCTCTTGGATCACAAACTGGCTGATCAACATGGGAGTCCAACCCGTTGTGCAAACTCAGCTCTCGTGGTCCATTTCTGGTGTAAGGGGTGGAGAAGCTGCTCTGAATGGGTCATGGGAATGTTGCCAATGATGTTCCTCTCACCATCTCACTTTTCTGCTATCAGAAAGCTAAGCAGGATCATGTGGGGTTTAGTGCTTGGATGAGAGGCCACCAGGAACACTGGCTGTAGGCTCCATTGCAGAGTTGAAAAGCACCTCGGAAGAGAGCAGGAGCAAATCAATTCCATCTTGTTGTAATTAAAAAAAAAAACTTACCCAGGAATTGAGTTCAACAACTCAAGGTGGACTTTATGTTCATGACGGATGCTCCTCTCACCACCTCACTAGGGAATTCATAGGCTAGATTCCTCCTGGCTGTCTCTGGAGCTCCTGGAGCAGTGTTTCTCAACCTTGGCAACTTGAAGATGGATGGACTTCAACTCCCAGAATTCCCCAGCCAGCATGGCTGGCTGGGGAATTCTGGGAGTTGAAGTCCAGACATCTTCAAGTTGCCAAGGTTGAGAAACACTGTCATGGAAAATGATACCTGGGAGTAAATAAATGAGTAAATAATGGGCCCCAGCACCCCTCTTTGTGGAACTTAACTTCTACCTCCTGTGCAGGCAGGGGCTTTTTCTGTGAACCGGGCAAAGCGACATTTGGGGAAAAAAAAAGTATTTCTTCAGATTTCTGGAGGCACTCTTTTGCAGAAGTTTCTCAGACAGAACCCTAACAGTGCTTTATTTTGAAGTCCACCCCACTTCCTTGCCAGAGCAACCAAGTTGGAAGATCCTAGGGCCATGGTGAAGAGGCCTATCAAAGACTTCAAGAGGGCTTAGGTGAAAAACCTGCCTGGCTGTAATTCTTCCCTTCCAGTTTAAAATATAAAGTCCATCTTGAGTTGTTGAACTCAACTCCTGGGCAAGGTTTTTTTTCTTTTTCTTTTAATTGCAACAAGATGGAATTGAGTTGCTCCTGCTCTCTTCTGAGATGCTTTTCAACTCTGCAATGGAGCCTACAGCCAATGTCCCTGGTGGCCTCCCATCCAGGCATAAACCCCACATGATCCTGCTTAGCTTCCTGACAGCAGATGAAGAGGTCAGACTTGTGGCCACCTTCCCGGGCTAAAATGCCCCGTCTCCCGCGAGCCAGGGGCCACCCTTCCAAGGAGCAATAGGGAACCCCAGTGGTTTGCCAAGCTTTTTCCGAGCTGTTTTTTCAAGTCAATTTTGCCCGCAGCCGCGGGCTTTTACGTGGTCCGAGGACGAGCCACCCCAACGCCGCAGAGTGTTGCTGGAGCGGAGAAAGCCGGCTCTGTGGTGCCCTCTGCCGCAGGTCCCGCCCGTTCCCTCCCCGGGCAGAGCGCGCGGCAGCCCCGCTCCCCCCCTGCCGGCCTGCCCGGACATCTCCGCTCCCGGGAGGACAAGGGCTAGGATCGCGCCCCGAAAGGGGAGTCCGTCCGTCCTTCCTCTTTCTATCCCTTCCTTCCGGCAGGATACCCACTGGAAATGATCTCCCCCCCTCCTCCCCCTCTCTCTCGCTCCCTGCTCGGCTTCACACAACCCGTTCTGCAAGGCGGTGGGTTTCGCGTGTTGTGTGAACCCGGCCCGCTCGTTCAAGGAAGGCGAGCCGAGGGCGACGCGGGAACCCAACCCAGACCTTCTCTCGCCGCCCCCGCT